TTTGTCGGTTTACTTCTCATGTTTCCCCGTGTGGGTTCCAGAGCCCCATCGTGGAGGAAAACAAGAATAGACCCTCTGCCAACCAAAAAGCATGTCGCAGGAGTCGACTAATTGGAGAGCTTCCTTTGATGTCGGTGCCTCTGCCTGAGAGGCAAATAACCAACAGTCTGCATTAAAGTGAATCAGATCTGTAAAACTGATGCACTCGCAATACTCAGGTTCTGGAGCAGGACTGCAGTTCAGAAGTGGACGAACAACCAGAACTTTCCACCAGAGTGTGCAGCTGGTGAACGCGAAGAAGAAAAGAAGAAGACTTTCTCGAATTTGTCGATAATATTTCATTTTAAAAGTCCCCGATTTTTGCTTCTAATTCGTTACAATAAAGACATGGAAATCTCCAGGCAATGCATTCAAGTGGCTTGCCATGAGCCCTCAAGGTTGCGGGTTTATTACTGGACTCCGTTCTGTCGTGTTTAGGACATGCCTTAGTGTCGTCTTGGAGCTGCGGAGATTCGTGCTTTGAACGACGCTCTTGGAGAGCCATAAAACAATTCTTTGGAGATAGACTAAGCAATAAGGAAAAGAACCCAACTGAAGTAAATCCTCATCCTTTTTTTAACACATCAGTATTTCGTTGTTGGTGAATAATTGAGGTCAAAGAAATTGTATAAGATACTACAAACTGAAACCACACTATAGCTGTTTGCAGTGCCGTTTGATTTTTCAATGTTAGTAGTAGTAGGAAGAGGAGGAGAAGTAGTAGTAATAGGAGGAGTAGTAGTAGTAGTAGTAGCAGCAGTTTGAGTAATAGTAGTAGTAGGAGGAGGAGTAGTAGTGGTGGTGCTGGTAGTAGAAGTAGTAGTAGTAGTAGTAGTAGTAGTAGTAGTAGTAGTAGTAGTAGTAGTAGTAGTAGTAGTAGTAGTAGTAGTAGTAGTAGTAGTAGTAGTAGTAGTAGTAGTAGTAGTAGTAGTAGTAGTAGTAGTAGTAGTAGTAGTAGTAGTAGTAGTAGAAGTAGTAGTAGTAGTTATTAGTAGTACTGGTGGTGGTGGTATTATTAGTAGTTGTGTTGGTTGTGGTGGTGGTGGCAGCCCCTGCCAGTAGTATCAAAAGAAAATGTGGAAAATCGACACCTTCTATAATTCAAACATCTGAAATATTAAAAGTCACGCGGACAAGAGAACACAAAAACAACCGTGATTTTTCTGTTCGAACTGACTGTAGTCATACACCGGCTCACAATGTTGCCATCAGGTTCAACTGGCCTGCATTCTTCAAGATCGAATCTGAAGAACTTTTTTTTTCTCCCAACCCCCACCCCCACCCCAGAAATCAAATCATAGTTCGTCTCTGAATGTGAAATTATAGAATAGTTATTACTTGTCTCTAAGCAACAATAGCACACTTGTTTTCAATTTTCATATCGCCTAGTGACTTATGCTGTGTTCTGTTATCTATTGTGTAACTCTTCTGCATGTTTGTGGGGCTGTATTCTTTCCATTTGTTTTTAATATCTTGTCTGTTGGTGAATGGTTTTTTACTCACCCTGTTAATCATAGTGTATGGGTTAAATTTTTCTTCTTTCAATCTCTTTGCTCAGCAATGCACACGGGCGTCCGATCTCACTACCAAGAGATCAGGGGGAATTATTAGAAGTCTAAGTCCACGTGAAAAGATCCCAGCGCTAACCGGGGATTGAACTCGGAACCTCTAGCACTCGAGGCGGATACCATGCTTCGAGACCACACAGCTCCCCTATGTTCTCTAAAAACGTGTGACTCATTTTATACACTACTAATGTGTGCGTGTAACGTTTTTGGACCAAGAAGAGAGTGACGTCCCTTGACATGCATGTCTGGTTTGTCGCAAGTCCTGTCCTTTATTGGTTATGTTTATGGCTAGGCTGCTATATAAGAATGTTTTTTGGGCAGAAGGTCACCAGGGCCCTCTGAGTGTATGATGTTATGCCGCTATAGATTTAAAAATTATTGAGTAAATTGGGTTGCGGGGATCTGAACGCAATGTTAGATGCCGGTGTCTCAGTGAGGTTGTGAAGTCGTCGTGTCGGCTATTTAAATGAGTAGTGTTACTGGCCCCCTACAGGTGCATATGGTACTATGCCGTTAAAGAGGGGAAAAAGTGGACAAAAAAGTGGTTGGGAACTGGTGGCTTGTCGTAGTGTTAGGCGCCTGTACTCAGTAAGAAGGACAAGTTGTCTTGCGGGTTAGTTAGATAAGGCGTGTTAAGGCATCTGGGAATATGGTGCCGTTTAAAGAGATAAAACGGAACAGTCGGATTAAGGGGGCTGGTGTCGTATCAAGGTGTTGGGTGCCTGGGAGGCAGTGAAAGATCAAGTGATCGTGTCAGCGTATTGGCTGAGGTGGTCTGGCGTATGTCTGTTCCCGAGCCGGACAGGTGTTCGTGCGCGCGGGGGCACGTGATCAATAGCATCATCCACATCATTATCATCAGCAGTAGCATTATCAAGTGTCTTGTCGACTGGCATGGGCGAGTGTGTCTCTCTACAACGGGAAATCTCTTGTATTTCGTTGTTAGGGGCGGAAGGATCAGTGAGTGGTCGGGTTATCAGGTCACTTTTTCATCACCTTTTATTCCTAAACAATTCCTAAGACAACGTATGAAATTATCTGATATTCATTTTTTTAAACTTGATTGACTCCAACCGTTACTGTTCCAACCACAGCTGTGAGGCGTGATTGATTCGCATGGTAAGCGTTAGTAGCTAGAGTTACACTGGAGAGGATGACGTGATATTTTAATCCTCATCTCTTCCCTGTTAAGAGTTACGTATAGTATTATTTAAGTTACGTATAGTATTATTTACATCATTTATATTAACTATTGGAATTTACCACAAACAGCGGAAAATTGAGAGTGAGGAGAAACAACGAAATACATAATCTGTTTAAAACGCTTTTAATTGCTAACATCGTAAAGGCTAATAAACTGTAATGGCTGGCACATATAGAGAGAATTGCGAAATCATAGAGAGACCAAAACTGCATACACAACAACAACAACAACAACAAATTTTTTTCATGGAATAAAAGCAGATGACAGAGACCAAAGGGACGGTGGAGATAAAATATCCAGGAAGACTTAAAAATACTCGGAGTCACCAACGGAAAGAAAAGGCCAGTCACATTGACTAACAGAGGCAGGTGATATCTGCAGCAATAAACCTTAAGCCCTTGAAATACTGAAGAAGAAGAATTGGCTGTGAAATTTAAATTATAGAATTTCCTTGCAATGTCTACTGCTGTAGGTTTCCATTTACAGTGTTATATCTTCGTTTGAACTGTATTATTTCGCAGTTCTTCTTATTCTTCTTCTTCTATCGTTCGCCTGAAATAAATTGTCTCTATCTCTTAGAGAAATTTCACTGTCTTTTTTTTAGTTCGTTCAGTGGTCCATGTGGTTTATGTTTCACCATTGTTCTTTCTGGCCAAAAGGTTTTCCTTAATGTGTCAAATTCGGCGAAGTCCTAAAGAACGTGTTCTGCTGTCTGGAACTCCTTTCCACAGGTGCACATGACTGATTCGCATATCTTTAATTGTATGTACATGTGGTTATGTAATCGGCAGTGCCTTGTTCTGAGGCGGAGGATAATTATTGTTCTGATCTGTCCATAATAGAATAATCGGTTTTTTTTTTTAGGGCTGGTGGTTTCCTAATCGATTTAATGATCTTTTTCTTGTGGGTGTTTGTAACTGGTACATCCGGCTGCTCTTTTAGCGCACCTTTCCCTGCCAATTGATCAGCTTTCTCATTTCCAGCCACTCCATAATGGAACGGTATCCCCTGCATTGACTCTTCGCTGACAGCAGAGTTGTGTGGGTAGAGTTTGCAAATCTAGATGTCTCTCGGACTGGTGTGCTCTAAGTACGGATTTTGCACCTGTCAGCATTACCACAGACTGTGAGCCAAGATTGGTATCTAACAGTTTCTATGTTGATATCTTGATAGCCTGGGTTTCTGCATCATAGTTACGGCAGTACTTCACGGTTGGCACACTGGACTTTTCCCTAGTACCATCTGAGAATTCTTGGTATACACCCGAACCACCATTTCTAACTACATTTTGTGGGACCCATCTGTATGGAGTATTTCACAGAGACGTGCAAGTTATTTAATTTTACTGTGACGTGCTATGTCAAATTTCATAATGTTAATAGCATCGGACTTTTTCTTCATCTGTACACGGGGATTCGATTTTTTATTGTTCCAGATGCTGTGTTGCAACATATGCTTTTTTGTTGAATACCATTCGCTGTTTTGTGTAAAGTACTTACTTCGTCTTCTTACTGGTTAATTGTTTTACAGTTGTTTCTGACGAAACCTTCTAGATTTCTACTAACACAGAAATTTTCAAACTTTTTATGTTAGTTACCCACTTTTTCTACAACATAAATTTGCAACACAGTAATTTATTCTGCTAGAAAATCACAGGGTAATCTAACCCTTGATACGATTTACCAAAACAAAATGAAATGTAATCACGGGATGCTTCAAGAAACAATATATTCAATGAAAACCTTTCAGTTATAGTTAAATAGATGTAATATTTCTCAGATCAATTTGACGGTGTCGAACACTCTATGTAATCCTTTTTAGTTCGCGCGACACACCTTTACACTGTTGTCAACATCCTAATGTGCCTCCTTCACACACAGTTTACTTACTTTAACTAAAAGCAAACATAATTAACTATTGAACAGACAGCCGAGTATAATAAAAGATTATAACACACCACGACGAGAAAAATAAAACAATGTATATATATTTGTTTGCTCTATCAAAACATTTATTTCGCCAAAGACACCGAATAAAATAAATAAACGTTTGTTGTAATTTCAAATTTTAGCGGAATTAATCCTAATTTTGAAGACGGAATAAAGATTGTCATTTAGTAGCTAAATATTAATTCCTGATCAGCTAGGCTGCTACAATACAGTTGGTTTCTTGAAAATTTCACAAGTTCTTCATTTCTTTTCTAAACTCTGTCCAGCATGAAAGCGCAGTCTTGGAAGCAGCCCAGTATCTTGGTCGGAACTATAATCATTTCTTTTAACGAATCGCAGGCGTCTTTTATCGTATCTAAAGGATCTTTTACTGCCCCGAAGTCGTCGCTTACTGGCCCGAAGTCTGCGTTTATCTACATCTCCGCCATCAGAGTAGTACAGGTCTTCATCGTCATCGTCGTCAGCGGGTCTTGGGAGGTAATCTTCCAGGGCTTGAGCAAGCTCTATTTCTTCTCTGACTTTACTAGGGTAGAAAACGCCTTTTGTAGCTTGTTGACTGTTGGCCTCGGACAGCGAAGACAGGATCGATTGTGCTTCTTCTGTAGCTGGTGAGGCTAATACTGACACAAAGGATGTGCCCTGGGGGAGCCAGGAGTTGATGTAAACCACAAGAAAGGCTACAACGAAAGTCGTATGTTTGACCATGGTGGGTCGCTGAAATAAATAAAAGAAACCACATTAAAGATCGTTTTAAGATGGTTGCAAAATATCAAGTATAAAGAAGTAAACAAGTTAAAGTCGAGAGGGCCGACTTCATTGCACCGGTTTTATCCCATATAGCCTAGTCTCTCTTCGAAGAACGACCAGCCACATGCACAGAATACGAACTCTGTAGCTCCAGCGAGGATCTCCAGGGATCTCCTTACAATTTGCACTCTTGAACTGAAGGCCAAACAAGTGAAACGAACCCACGACCTTCAGAGCGCGAGGCAAACGGCTTAACCACTTCGCCGTGGAGGCTCCCAGAAAGTATACACAAACATATTAGGCAACGAAAAGTGGATTAACATAATCTGAGATAATATTATTTAAGTAAACCATCGAGTCAGTAAGGTTGGTTGCGTATCCTTTACAGGACGTTACAGAACCAACCCAAGCAGCCCCTGGCTGTTGTGTGGTTTCTCTAGGCAACTTTACGTCCAGTAGTTTGCATCGAGTCTGTATTTAGGCATATTTTTGTACAATATTAAAAAAAAAAAACACACACACACAGACATAATCAGGTTTAGGGCAGCCGCCGAGGTATAGAGGCTAGAGGTTCGCCTGATAATCTAAAGGTCGTGGGATCAGGTCCTGGGGGAGCCAGAATTTTTTTTTTTTTTTCTCAAAACTATATGCGATCGCTGGTCATTTCAGCCTTAAATGAATACCAGGTAAAAGTCCTGGAAAGTAAAAAGCCACCGTCGTGACGTTGACCACATCACCCACCGAATGTTATTTGGTCAATAAAATATAGGCCTAGCCATACATAGCACATTACGCATTCTGCGTGGAAATGGGTCCTTTAATCAGGTCAAGATTCCGCACAGCACAGCACAACACAGCACAACACAGCACAATCGGATTTGCAGGACATAGGGCACTAACTGATACATTTCCTCCAACGAAGTTAAGAACTGAAATGCTACTGAAAAGTCTTAGAAAACCGTGGACCTAAAAAAAAAAGAGAGAAAAGCATCGGTAGACTATGTGATCTGTATATCCAGAAGAACTGGCCCATCAACAGCATCCTGTTAGAAAGCGGGGTTATTTTGGCCATATTAACCCTTATGATGGCCTGAGGATAACATTAATTGGGGGGGGGGGGCGTACTTTTCCGGAAAACCGGAAAACAAGGCAGTGGCAGACTTCCGCGCAGGTGGATACAGAACATCAAATTGCTGAAGAATTAGCTAGTGAAAGAGAGACTTTCAGGCGTTCTATGGAGAGAGTGATGGTCTGTAGATATCCTGCTGATTTAGGATGAACCCCTCGAGTTAGCATTCAGACATACTAAACGTTTATAGAGGATTAACTAACAGTAAACATCCATAAGACCCCATCAGCAGACTCAACAGAAAGCAACATATAACAATTTTCCGTATGCGAACAAGACACTGCAGGCTCAATTACCACATGCATAAAATAAAGATTGTACAGTACCCACAGTGTACCTGTCAGACAGGACCACAAACAAATGAGCACATTCTGCAGACCTGCCCTCTACCTACAACTTCTAAAAGACACCTGGCCTTAAGAGCAAATTGTGCAGAGCAAGCTATGGGGAACCATGAAGGACCTTGTAGTGAGTTTCAGTTTCTCCCAGTTAATTTATGCCCGACAGATGACGTCAGTAATAAATGTGAGTGGAATATTTTGACTCTAACTGGGACGGCACGGGAATTGTTGAGTCTGAACTTCACGGGAGTTATAGAAAAAGGCTGATAGTCAAACTTTGTGTGAAGCATAATTATTCACGTGAACAGAAATGTTTACTATCGAACTTCATGCGAAGTATGAGGAATCACGTGCCACGCACCATGTCCAGCCAAATGGAATTCGTGAGACAGAAGGGACACGGAGTATTCGGGAAAAAACGAAGCGGGGTTTAGAAGGCTATATAATAGCGTTGAAAGGGCTGAGAGTCAGTCTCGTTTGGGCCCAGGAACAGAGTGCATGGACAACGATGGAAGATGTGTGGATTCAACATGTGTTGAGTGAATTTGTTCCAGTCCAACTTGGCAAAAAAGGTGGCAGGCAAGATGATGTCTGCAGGCCATGTTAGTTTTTCTGTCAGGACAGCTATTGTGTTTTCGTTCATTATGATAGTGCAGGACGATTGTGATTTCGGACAGAAGGTAATAATTGATACTTTTGATATTTGAGTTATAATGTGTGCCTGGACAGTAGTCTATTTCATGTGCCGGCTGTGTTAGCCGCGAGTAGAAGATTAAAGTGCTAAACAGTATCGTGTTGTTTTTCCAGTCGTCCATTTTCTGCTCGTCGTGTGATGTCGGTGTGTGAGATAGCCAGCATGCGATGATGCGAGCCAGATAGAAGAAGGTAAAAGAAAGTCATCGCACGAATGGGAGCTTGTCCAAATAACAGAGGATATGAAATTTGTATCGGACAGTGAAATCTGAAACATTGGAAATGAGTTTAGTTATCAGCCTGACGTCGGGTAGAACAAGTTCAATAGCGACACCCTATGTCCGATTGTTTATAGATTGAACAACGTTTGAACAAATTTCAGGCTTTGAATGCTAGTAGATAAGTCCACGATTCAAGGTTTCGACCAGTTAACCAACAAGAAGCAAAGGAAATATTGTAGATACTGACAGTGGCAAGGAGCAGTCATCGATCGTAGCAAAGGATAAATAACAGTAAGTCTACGCATGGATGATGTGAGACTAGGGCTGTCCCTCTACAACACTTCCGAAGCCCTGTTGTTTAGTCAAAATTTGCTGCCGACTAAGGTGTGGTGAAGTGCAGTTGGAAATCTGCACCAAGCAACACAAGAAAGTGTCGACACCAGATCCTGCTTTCGGATCTGCTTTCAAAAAATGCAAAGACAGTTACAACACCGGGTAGTGTGTTGCCTGGAAATTGAGATCAAAAGAACCACAGCTCTGACACTGGGTATGTGTGTCACAGCCCCACATTATCAACCGTGGCAAACAATTTGGTAGGAAACTACAGTACGAGAAGCCTACAATACCTCAAGATCGGCACTCATTGATATCTCGTGATCAACATTCATCAATACCTCAAGTTCATCGTATAATAATCTTCCAAAACACAAGAAAGCGATAATAATAAAGCTTTCCTACGATTTAAACACATTCAGTCAACAGGAGAACTATCTAAATAGTCTGTGCAAAACTAAGTGTTGATTTAAGTGTGTACAGTTAGCAGTGAACTATTTAAGTGTCTACAGTTAGCAGTGAACTATTTAAGTGTCTACAGTTAGCAGTGAACTATTTAAGTGTCTAGTTAGCAGTGAGATAGCAGACAAAAGAAAGTCATCGCAGACCTGCTACTGACATTCAAGTTCATAGAGGCCACCAACCTGTTGGTCTGATGTGAGCATGCGAAACCGAACGCAGAGAATTAGAAGAAGATACAGTATTAAAAAACAGATACAATCAGGTCTTTATTCAACACAGCACAAACGGAATTAAGAGGAACAGCCCTGGTTAATAAATTTCTACGAGCGAATTTAAGTACTGCCATAAAACGGTCATTTCTGATAACAATGATTGCTTTAGTAGAACAGACAGGGGGGTCTTTAAATGTGAGAGTTTGAGAGCCCTATGTTTTATCCGTAAGGCCAGCCGATGCTCGATTTAAAGTACATGTACATATTTCATTGACAATTTCCACCCAAAAATTTAAAAGCACCATCTTCAACTTGGAGCACAATCAAGAGATGAAACCTTGTTACACATTTTCGAAAACAGTCTTTTGACGAATCTTTCAACCCATCAAAAATGCAAACTGCGGGGAATGGAGAGTGAGAAGCAACGACGAAATTTATTTTCTTTTTAAATCACCACTGGTCACTGCCATCATGAGAGCTAATCGACTGAAGTGGTTGGGGCATACTGAGAGAATGTCAGATGACAGAGAGATAAAAACTGTATATACAGTGCTGAAGAAGAAGAGGAAGAAGAAGAAGATACTATGTTCAACTATGCTTTATTGGTTGATTGCTTGGTTGATTGGTTCTAAACCTACACTATTACTTTAGGTCTTTCACTTTTGGGGTTTATCTCCAGCAATTGTTTTTAAAATTTAATTTTCTATTTTTTGACATTGATTCTTCACCCTCTCTGTTTTGCTATTATGTGATCTTATCTGTCTTTTGTTGCAGATGTTCTTTACTTTGGCTGATGACACAAATATCATATGCAAAGTCCAAAACTTCCAGGTGTTAGAGAAGGTTCCCCTGAAGGTCCGTCCGTGTGCCTATGGTTGCTTTCTTCGTAACATAATCGATTACTTTGAGAAACATGAAAGGTGACAGGATGCACCCTTGTCAGACTCCTGTTACCGGAATACCCTAAGTATTCTGTTTGCATGAGTGGGCGTGGGAGATCTATTCTTTTTAAAAAAAAAACCGTTCTGTTTATTTAAACGGTAGAAATAACCCTCTGCCGGCTTGCTGGACTCGTTCGTTATAGTATTTCTTGATCGTTCGTTTATTTGTTTCCTCAATTCATGCCTTCTGTCTTCATTTTATCCTTGCTTTTCTTCACCCGATTCTTCATTTGTTTTTCTTCTTCAATTTTACAGAGAGAAATAGAGCGTCCATCCAAGCTTAGGGCGACCACTTAGCCTCTTGCAAATTTTCTAGGGTTGGGACCACTATACACAGTCTTAATGTCCTTAAAAGTCCTCTAGAGTACTAGAGAGTTTGGGAAAATACCATTCTGGTCTCAAGACTCAGTGAAGGGAAAACCTCAACTGCACCTCCACGCGGTTGAGGATGGTAAACACACTGCAGTGTGGCCAATGCAGCTATGGGGACAGAATATCCGCCTTGAAAAGTGGACACTTTGCATTGGTATCCTTTGAAAGTCTTTTTAATATGTTTATAACTTTATCTGGTAACTCATACGCAGCAAGGATCCTCCACACCATTGTTCTATCTAGACTGGCAAAGA